TTCACACTCACATTCACATTCACTCACACCACACCACCTCGGCAACCGGACATCCCTATCTCCTACGCTCATGCACACACGCATACAGATACACCAGCACTCCTCCTGGGACGGACGGGGTGGCTATTTATTATCATTGGCCCTCCCTGTGCTGTTCCTCCCAGCGGCTGTGGTTGTGTGTTGTATTGTGTTGTGCAGTGTAGTGTAGTGAGTGAGTGACACGGAGGTGTTGGGGGGACGACAGGAGGGAGGGAGGATCAGCAACTTATATACGGACTCTTGTATGACAGATCTGGTGTGTGTGTTTTGGAGGGAAGTAGGTGGGTAGGTAGGTAGGTAGGTCTAGGCGTATTTTCTTTAGGGGTAGCAGACAGGCAGAGGGAAGGTCCAGCCACCACCTCCTATGCTGTTGTACTCCTAGCTGTTAGATCCAGGCGGGTAACGACAGGAGCAAAACACTCCCGACGATGAGTCTGTGTTCTGTGTTATATTATACCTTGAGGGTAGTGAGTGACACGTAATACCACCGTGCTGTCCTGCTGTGGTGTCGTTACAGCGCGAGAGGGGCGGTTGGTACGGCGTCATATCATTCAGTTGGACAGACAGGAAGTTTGTCCGAGTGTTTATTTTTAGAGTACTGTCTGTGGTACGCTACGGTGTTACGATCTCGGAGACGAGTGTGTGTGTGTGGTATAGCAAGCAAGCATGACCGTCCGTCAGAGAGTCTAGTCGTCTGTGCAACGGGAGCGTGGGTGTCCTGCCTGTCCTGACTAACTTGTCGGGGGGGGGAAGGTAAGGGTATTAATGACGCCGGCCGGAGATATTTGGTGCATGTGCTGGAGGTAAGGGGGGGGTATATGTGTGTATGTGTGGAAGGGTTTGGGGAAGGATTGTGGAACGGGATCGGGGAGATCGAGGGGGGGGGCGTGCAGGAGGAGAGGGTGGAGGAGGAGGGTAGGGGAGGGTAGGGTGACTTGGGGAGGGAGTGGTGGGTGGGTGTGCTGGTGGTGAGGAGTGTGATGTGTGTAGAGGAGGGTGATATGTGAGTAGAGTTGGGTGTATAGGTAGGGAAGTGAGGTGAGGAGTGTGATGTGTGTGTAGAGGTACAGTAGGGAAGTGAGGTGAGGGTGTTCATGTGTGTTAATGACGCCGACTACCAATCAGCAGCTGTGAAGTGAGACTTTTAACCTGACATTCCAGCGAGACAGACAGGAGAGACAGAAAACGAGAAGTGGGAAGAGACATGTTGTAATTATGGTGAGAGGCGGTGTAGTTAGGGTAAGAGACACAGTAATTAAAACTGAGACTGCATATCTTTCAAAAAATATAAAAATAAATAAAAAGTTGGTTGCACACAGTGAGTGGAATTGTAAATATAGTAAATAAATAGCTGCATGGTAAATAAAATAAGAAGTTGAAATAGAAATAGAGATGGAGATAGAAATAGAGCCATAAAATAAAGGATGAGTGCAGACGCAGAAGTATGCATCTAGGAGTCTATTTCATATACGACGCGGCTGAGGGAGGGAGGGAGTAATGCAGGGAAGAGTCTGTATGCAGCCAGACTATTAGTATAGTATTGTACTATATGCAACCAGAGCATAGATAGAATAGCTAGAATCGTAATAGTAGAGCACAGGTCAGATTTGTCTACTTCTATAGTACCATAGTATCGTATCTATGGCAGTAGGTATGGTTGGTTGGTAGTACCACAGACAGACAGATGATTATTTACGGACCGAAACCATAAACGCATGAAAGAGAACCGCGGCACACACAGAGAGATGATCAGGTTTCTTTGATCCTTTGACCCTTTGACCCTTTGACCTGGGCTTTGACCCTGATCTTAGCCGTGACTAAAGGGCCTCGAGATCGTTTGATCGAGTGATCACAGATCGATGATGATGATCGATCCTCCGAGGCGCGTCGGTTGTGCGTCCAGGCTACTTGAGTAAAGTATAGTACACAGGTGTAGGGGCGGGTAGGGGAGGGTAGGGGAAATAGAAGAAGTAGAGTACTTGCACATGTAGTCTGCAAGTGTACTTACGCTGGTGTTTGTGTGCTGTGGTATGCTGTGTGTGTGCTGTAGTACTCCGCGGAGTTGTATGGGAGAGAGAGTTACAGTATGGATGGTGGTGTACTGTATGTAAGATCTCGCAGTACGGTAGAGTTATGTTATGTTACTGTGGGTGTGTGTGTGTGTATGTAAGATCACAGTACTACTATGCACTAACTAGCTGAATAGACCCTTTATGCTCCCTCTGTGCACACACAACACACAACACACAACTCGCATACTCGGGATCCCGGAGTCTCGCCTCGCCTGCAGCCGTCTGCAGGACAGTAGAAACACAGTAAAGCACAGCACCGCACGGGCACACGCACAAGCCAGAGAGAGGGTGGAGGAGGGAGAGACATGTGAGTGGACAGGCCAGGCAGACCAGATAGGCCAGACCAGACACACATGAACGAACACTACCCATCCACTCCTACCCTACAGTACTGTACTCAATGCTTGAAGGTGGTCTATGCTAATACTGTATCCAACTCAACTGTCTGTGTGTTCGGTTAGAGAGGAAGCGACTTTACTTAGACTACACCCATCGGACTCGACTACACCCACACCAAACCACATCCAAGCAAGGGACGGACGTGCAGCCCGCTACTCCCGGCTCTACTAGACTACTGCCCGCCACCATCTCCGCCACCATTCCCCACTGGTGCCGCCAACTCCACTCTAATGGCAGAGTGAGTGTCAGCTAACTGGCAGCCACCCACAGCCACCCACAGCCACCCACCGAAACTAACTGTCCACTACTGTCAGTCAGACCCCACTGTAATCCCCCACTCCCTGCGTCCCCTTGCGTCCTGGATCTTCAGGCTGGCCAACCACATGCCCCCCTAACCCTGGGCTGCGATGCATCCGCCACCCACCCACCCACCCACCACCCCAACCCGCCTACCTGAATACGGAGAGCGAGACCGAGCCGAGACGTGGGAAGATGTACTTGCATAGAGTACTCTACATACCCAACAACCGTAACTCAGGCTTTTCCCATTTCCCAGCTGTCTGTCCTCCCAACCAGAAGGTACCAGTAGGGTGTCCAGATGTTTGTTTTTCGTGGGTGTGTCTGTGGGTGTTCCTCTCCCAGCTGCTTATTCTTCCTCCTCCCAGCTCTCCTAGCCCTCTGTCCTCCCAGCCAGCCACCAGCCAACTACAACTACAACTACTACCAATCGAGCCCTCTCAGTCAGTCACTCACTCATTGCCACTACAATCCTCTCTCACACCGTATATCGTATTCTTACACAAGGTATACAGTACTATGAACTCTCTCTACTCCCTCCTCTCCTACACTGTCTGTCTCTATTCTCGTATTTCTACACATTCCATTCACACACAAGTACCCACTCCCCTACCCACTCCACCCACCCCTACCTCCCGATGTCTTACCCCCTGTCACCCTCTCTCTCTCCCTCTCCCACTTTCTCCCACCCGACCTGTCTCTCTCCCTGCCTCTCCCTTCCTCTCGCCTCTCTTCCCTCCAACCCTTGCTTTCCCACCAACCCTACACCTTCTCCCACAAATTCCCCGCCATCCCCGATCAAGCCTCCATTCCCGCGCCATCCTCTGTCCCGTCCCGTGCCCACACCCCGTTCTATCCTAGTCCCTGTCCCATCCATCTCCACTTATCTCCACTCCAACCCTTGCCACTTCTCTTCTTCTTCTTCCCCTTCCCCTTCCCACCTCTCCCACACCCTCTTCCCACTACCCACCACTCTCCAAATTCCCAATTCCCAAATCCCTAATGTACCCTACATGTGCATAAATCACAGTGTGCTCAGTGCACTTCCCATACCAAACTCCCACCTCTCCCAACTCTCCCACCCTTCACCCACACCACACCCACCACCCACCACCCAGACTCCTGTACTCTCTCTCTCTCCGTCTTCCATACTAGGTACTTCCAGTACTACATAGCAACCACTGTTATTCTATGTACACCATGTACTCTACTTACTTTCCTTACCCACAACACAATCCCAAAACCCACATTTCACATCCCATCCCATCCCATCCCATCCCATCCCATCCCACGCCCCCCAATTCCACTTCCCTTCCCTTCCCATCCCCAACCAACCAACCACATCCTACACTGCCATCCCTTCAAACCCTTACTGGCCCTTTTACTGGGTACTTCCCTCTCCACTCCTCTCACTATTCTGACTGCTCCCTCTACTATTTCCCCGAACCTCACACTATTGACACTCCTCACACTCAACCTCACCCACTCGTTGCCTCTCTCCTCTCCTTCTCCCGCTCTAGCCCTCAAGGAAATTCCTCTCCTTCTATTGCTTCTTCCCTTTCTTTGACTACTTCCCTGTTCCCTCCCTCCCCCACCCACCCACACCCCCAGTACGGACCACCCTAGTACGCGCCTTGTTACATTATCCTACCGAGATTCCACCCTCCCCGAACTCCCCAACCCTTGTGTGAACGAGGCCTAGGTCGGTTCGGAAAGGAGACTCCTCACAATCCACCCTTCTGTCGCTCGTTGCCGCGTCCCTTCCGCCGCCCCATCCCAACCTCTCCTTCGCACACCCAACGTCGTCGTCGTCCGAGAAAAAAAAGAGAGGACAGCGAGTTCGAACTCTCTACGCCAAACGACAACCGCAGAGGGAGAGACTCGATACCCATCGTCGTCGACAAACATTCTCGACACAATGAATGCAATGACTCGCCCACAGGAGACGGCGACGGTGACGCGGATGACGGCCGAGGGCCGCAAGCTCAGCTACGAGCTCAAGGTCATTCAGCAGCCGGAGCGCGCGAGAGCATGTGGCTCGGGAGCCAAATGTGAGCACAACGCGTCTGAACAAAGGTCCTCCTCGACTTCTTACTGACATCCCATAGCTTCTGCCGACCGCAGACCTGTCGACCCACCGCCCGTGGTCGAGTTGAAGATCTACGAGATTGACGCACAGAATCTCAAGAACGACATCACCTTCTCCTACAATGCCAACTTCTTCGTCTTCGCCACACTCGAGACTGCGCGTCCCATCATCCACGGCCGTGTCCAGCAGACCGCCCAGCAGATCCCCGTCCTCACCGGCATGCCCGTCTCTGGCATGGCATATCTCGACCGCCCAACCGAGGCTGGCTACTTTATCTTCCCCGACCTGTCAGTCCGCCACGAGGGAAAGTACCGCCTGAGCTTCAACCTGTACGAGGAGACCAAGGAGGACAAGGACAAGGATGGAGAGTCGGCCACCGATGCCCGACCAGTGATCAAGCAGAACCCAGACGAGCCAACGGATTCCTTCGATTGGAGGCTCGAGATCAAGTCCGAGGCCTTCACCGTCTTCAGCGCGAAGAAGTTCCCCGGACTCGCAGAGAGCACCAGCCTGAGCAGGACCGTGGCGGAGCAAGGCTGCCGCGTGCGCATCCGTCGTGATGTGCGCATGAGGAGACGCGAGGGCAAGGCTGCTGATGAATACGACGAGCGCGCAGACGCCAACGGATATCGCCGATCCACGAGAAGTGCCACCCCGGTTGAGCCTTATAGCCGCCAACGATCATTGAGCAACAGCAACAGCGAGATCAAGCCCGAGTACGCACACCGTCGCCCCTCGGCCGACGCCTACCCACCACACCCATCATACCCGGCACCATATAATCACGGTCCGGCATCCACACCGCAGCAAGGAGGATCCTACCTGGGATTTGGCGGGCATTCCGCGCAGCAACCTCAATTCCAGACTCCTCAGTTCGCGCAGCCTGCTCCTCCTCCACCCGCCCAGCCTCAACAACCACATCAATCCGCTCAATCGCCATATCACCAACAAGCACCACAGTACCCGCCCCAACAGTCACCAGGCGGCTACAGTTACCCAGAGAGGCCGCAGTACGGCCAGTACCAAGCCCCGAGAGATTATGATCCCGAATACAGACGCCAATCCCTCACCAGCGCACCTCTCCCACAACCACAATACCCCCGCGAAGAACAAGACTCGAACCACGCCTCCTCCTACGCACCCTACCAATCCCGCACCGAGGCCCCAGTCCTCGCACCGATCAAGATCTCCACCACCCCCGCCTACGAACCCAAGCACGAACTCGCATCCTCGCCCATCCCCTCTCTCCCCTCCCACCGCCTCTCACTGGGCAGCCTCCCCAGCCCCGGCGACCGTCCGGGATCGTACATGTACCCCTCCCTCACATCATCCACATCCGCTGCCGAGCCACAGCGCGCCGGCAGCAAGCGCGCATTCGAGACGGTTTTCGCGAACAACGCGCACACGGGGTCGCTGCACAATGGCGAGAGGCCGTCGAGTTCGCACAACGGCGGTCCTGCGCAACTGGATAATGAGGAGTTGACGCAGCAGCATAAGATGGAGTATAGACGCGCGGGTGGCGAGAGGCTTACACGCGCGGTGCGGGATTTCGAATAAGCTGCTTGAGTGGCCTGGATGCGATCGATCTTGAGTTTCGAGCAGGGAGGAGAGTCGTATATACGTACACCCACGCACTTTGAGAGGGACGGCAGGTGCGCTGGACTACACTAGACAACCTCCTTCACCTCAACCACCACACCACCATTTCTACCCCCCGCGACTTCAACAGCGCCCACCCACCTCACCACCACACAACACGAAGCCTCTAGACGACGGCGGCCCCTTTCATTTTACTTGTTCCTCGGATTTTTGTTCGGATTATATCACATCTACTCACGACCCGCGCTGATGCGCAACAACACCACCACCGTACCACCACCACCGCCACCCACACACTACAAGACTTTCCTACGTCCTTCCTCGCTGTGCGCATGGGGTGCAGTTGTAGCGGGCCCCTCCCCCCTCATTTTCTGCCCAAGCGGAAAAGGATGGGGGGCGGAGGGGTGCTCCGTACTGTAAAACTTTAGGAGGGGATATGAAGGAGGGGGTTGTTTTATGACTTGAAATACTTTCTTTTTCTTTTAGCTCGTGTCTTCTTTTTTTCTTCTGATGGCTGTTTTTTGGCTGTTTTTTTTGTTGTAGGGAAAGCGCAAAGGTCTGGCTACACTGCCGTCTTTTTTTTTAGGGATAGTTTTTTGGGAATATGAGATGGGGGAGATTTTAAAAATTATGTGTTGACTTGATGATTGATTTGTGAAGTGAATGTGAGTGATATGATGTCGACCTGCTTGGTGTGATGTGCAAAGTCCCCGATAGTAATGTTGACACATTGGAGTAGGGAAGTCAGAGTGCCACCGAAATAATATTAACTATGCTTGCTTGCTTGCTACGCTACGCTTTACACACATTGTCCACCTTCATCTGCTCATCATCCCTCCATTACCAAACAAATCTCTCCATCCATACCTCGCTCTCCAGCTTTCGCAATTTGTAAATAAGCAGAACATAACTCGTTACCTCATCATCAAATCTCCATCGACGCGCAATGCCGCTATTATCAGTACAGTACAGTTTATCATCCATCATTCGTAACGCCCCTCTATGCCTTCCCCACCATTCCCCTTAACTCCTGACACGAGTTGATTTCTGTAGTGACGATGGGTTTAAAACACATCAGGCCCCCACTCAAAACTGTCCATCGAAGTCGAACTTGTAATTTTCCCCCCTCTCGCAGCTGGGATATTCTCCTTGGTATCCTTCGTCTTCTCCTCAACCTGCTTCTCCACCTGCGCAATCTCAGTACTCTTCACCCTAGTCTTATCAACCTTCTTCAATTTCCCCGTCCCCTGTCTCATCTGACCCTCACCCGCCTCCGTCTCTTGGAGGCCAACATTGCCGCTAGTGACAGTAATAGCATTCCCATCCCCGACTTCACCCTCAGTAGGCGTATCCTTCCTGCTCCCCTTGCGTGGAATCCTACTCCCCTGCGTCTCGAGCGGAAGACGCTTCTTAACAATCAACTTCGGCGTCCCCTGCTGCTTGGCGCTGACAGACACGAGGACGGCTTTCTTCTCTGGGTCCACGTTCTCGAAACTGGGGTCTGAGGAGGAGCTGGAGTCGGGGAGGAGGAGTTCGGGGCTGGGTTTCTCGCGGGGAGTGCTGTTGTGGTTGCGGGATTTTTTGGCGGGGTTGGGGGCGGGCGTGGTGGTGATTGTGCTGTCTGCATCTGACGGATGGGAGGAGGTGGAGGTTGTGGTGGAGGTTTTGGTCATGTTCTTTCGCTTCTTGGAAGGGGTGGCTTGGTCGGCGTCATCTTGGCCTGCTGCGGCGATGTGAGACTCTCTGTTTGGATATTCCCGAACCGACGAGGAGAAGCTGGACATGCTGGGACGGCCGGGGGTCTCGCCATGGCTGCGTGATGAGGAGAGACTGATCTTGTCATCTGTAGTCAAGGCTGCGCCGATATAGCTTTGCGTGGACTCGTTATGGTGGGTGTACCCATTCAACAGAGATTCCGACGGGAGGGATGACAGTGCCCCAGGAATGAATCGGGATTTCCCACCCCGGGCCTGTGGTGGCGGGAGGCCGGTGGTGCCTAGTGATTTCACCAGCTCGAGACGCGCAGCTTCGAGTTTAGACTCGAGGTTGCTGACGCGTTTGACGAGCTTCTGCTGCACCCTGAGGTCCTTGCGGGAGAGTTTATGCTTCACCGACTTCGGCGGGGCGATAGAGCCGTAGGTGAAGGATGATCTGCTTTCATTGCTGTGCAAGAGCTGGTGGGATGGCACGGAGTACAGGTCGGCAGGGGTGGAAAGTTTGCTTGTGCCCTGTTGAGCAGAATAGTCGTCGCCGCCGAATCCTGCCATGGGTGGCGGGGTGTCGAATACCATTCCATATCGTTTCTGGGATGGTGGTGCTTGCTCTGAAATATCGACGCCTGAAGCGTTCACGGATGACCGCGGGTTGCTCCAGATGGCAGAACCACCAGCCGGACCAAATCGACGCCCCGGGGTGGGTGCGATGTTCTTCACTTCCCTATACGCTCTCTCCAACTTGGCTTGAGCTTCGGCATCGGCCTTGTCGTCGGGGACTTGGGGATCCTGCGATTTTGACCATATCTTCCAGTTTGACGGATTGAAGGAAGCTGCCAGGGACTTTCCGAAGCGGAATATGGTCGAGTGACGGTTTGCTTCATTTTTGGCTTCTCCCGCCACTGCTGGTACGGAGTGGTTGGAGTTGCGGATCAGCTTGTTGCGCTGTAGCTTCCCATTCTTGGTGCACTCATTTTCCCCGGCACAGTTCAACTCGGTCTCAGTGACCACATACTTTCTTGGCGGCTTTTGGCTCGCTCTGTTCCTCATGCTCCCTTCAATGAACTTGGATGAGCGCGGTTGGACGCCATCGTCAGAATAATTGCTGGTTGGGGAATCAGGTCCGTCAGCTGCAGCGCCTTCAACGGCCTTCCCATTGCCCCCAAGTGGCCAGTCACTGGTGCGGTGACGCTTCTCGAACGGGTCATCTTCATCAAGGTGGCGTCCATCGCTGCCACTTCCGTAGTTACTGGCACTGTCTTCCTCTTGCGAGTACCCTGAGAAAGTGTGACTAAAAAGTCTCTTGCTTCCTTTGGAGAAAGATTTGGGGGCTTTCACATCACCCTCAGGCTTGCCCTGTGGAGTGTTGCTTGGAAACTAGTGATGTTAGCCTTGCATTCTTTTCTGGGGTGCAGAACGACGGCGCTGTGGGTGGATTGTATGCTCAGTGATAGTGAGATCAGATACGACCTATACTATACACCCCAAATCAAGCTGAAAATAACTTACCACGTGCGGATCCATGATGGTCGTTGCTGCTGCTCACGTATGGCCCTTGCTTTGTATGACCATAAAGACAAAGCTTGAGACAGTTAACTTGGGTGAAGGTAAAGAATGTTGGTGTGATGAGAGGCTGCTCTGAGCTCTTCTGTTGGTCGTCACGTCCTAGATAATCGGGAATGTAAATAGTAGATGATGTATCTGTGGTTGTTGTTGTTGTGAGTCCGCTCTGGAACCCGGACAACGAAGGGACCGTAACAGGGTAACAGCGTAGCCTTGTTGACCCTGTTACTACGCGTATTTCCCCACCACGATGGACGTAGTATGTATGTACTTAATCGAGTAGGAGTATCAACATTCAGCGTTGGACATGTACTGGTTGAATTGTGAATTGTGAATTTGTGAAGGTGAGGTGATGTGATGTGGATAAGCTTTTGTTATTCTTGAGAAGAAGAAGCAGGAGAAGGATAGGAGAAGTGTCTCATCATAATCTCTTCATAATATAACAGCGGTGTATGAATGAGATGAGCGAGATGAACGAGATGAGCGAGTTTCACACACCTATTAAAAGTTATGTTTTGAATTACACAAGTACGTACGTAGCAATCGAGTCGTGCTTACGGAGGTAGTCATGCTTTTATGTTTTTATTATGATTATATTTATATTTCATAGAGGATGTATTGGACAGTATTTTATTGGTTGAGATACTCGCACTCTAAGGGTCCCTTTTCGTCCATTTGCCTTCCCGCAAAAGTATTTCTGAATTTCACCCCGTCGATTACTCTACAAAGTGACTTTTTGATACTTTACTAACCCCCCAAATTTATACGCGATAACAAGGTACTGGTACTTTGCAGCCCCCCCAGTTTCGCCTGTCAGTGTACGAAGAAGTAGGAACGCGTAGACTGCCAAGCCTTTCTTCGCTCCAGATCCCTCAACGTCGGCGATATCGAACCTCGACCTGCCTGTTGTACTGCACAACCACTCCCCGCAGCCATCACCATTCAATCGCTGCTTCACTCTGGACCTCCTATCGCTGCCAGAGGCATCCGATCATTGCGATAATACCTCCAACATCGACTCGATCCGACTCACGCGATCCGTTGGGCACCACACCATCGCCTCCCTCGAAGACTCAACCGCAAAAGATCCATTCATCCCACCCCTATTGAACTCAGCATCTGCGATAAAGATGTCCGGGCGATAGGTTGCGATTCAATTTCAATACTCTTCATTGATCAGCACCCGCGAAAGACGACCGTCGGGCTGGGGGTTGTTACGAGGCGTCAATCCTATCTCCCGCACCCAGGACACGCCGGTGAATAGACCGAGCCCGATAAACGAAGGCGATGCCGGGCACTGAGCCGTATTCGTCTCCCTTCATTCTTGATTTGGATGTGTCGGAGGATCCAGACGACCAGGATTTCGAGTTCTTCAACCCAGGCACGCCATACATAGCTTCGGGAAGCCCTGGTGCTTTCCTGGACCAAAACCTTCCTCCCGGAGAGAGGAGAGCGAATTTTGGCTCACCTGCGATAGCCCAGAAAGGCAGCACTCAAAACAGGAGTTCCGCCGTTGCGACAGGCCCACGGACGCCCTCGATACCTTCCTCAGATTCTCCAGGCGGCTCTTTTCATGACTCGTCCTCAGACTCCTCAACATACAATAAACGAAAGCCATCATCAGAATCATCAGAACCTACCTTCGAAGCTAAAGACGCCTCAATGAATGATGCTGAGATGGGCGATTGGAAAGTGGAGGGGGGACATGGACCGGACGATTCAGAGGCCTACGGGCCATACAGCGCCACAACGGCCTCGTCCTCGACCGCTACAGCGTTCGATTTTAACGATAAGATAATGGAAAACGATTTCGACTTTGATAGTGCTGCAAGCAGCCCAAGCCATTTCGCCTCCGCCATGAAGTCGCCGGAAATGCCAACTATCAAGCATGACACTTCAAGTCGAAATACCCCAGTTATGAAGCATAGAGCCGCAGGTCACCGTTCGAAGTCCTCGGTGAGTTCCCTAGTTGATAGCTATAGCAATTTCCAGTCAAAGAACTAACGATTATTAGCAAAATTCTATCACAAACAATATGCACGGTCTGACGACCAACGCATCCCGCGAAGCCTCTCCTTTGTCCACAATGATCACGAGCCAGGAATCTTCACCATCAGTATTCTTCAACAATTCTCCGTCCCCTTCCGGCGGAGTAGAATTTATCAATGGAACGATGCTTGGTAATGGGGCACAGAACAACCCCTGGCAAACAAGCTACGACTTCAGCATACCAAACTCGATGGTGAATGGCGGAAGTTTTATGCCTATGCGCATGAACAACAGCATTCCCCAACAGATGCCTTTCTCGGCTGGCATGTCTCTTATGGATAACATGTATAAGCCAGTTTTGGCCATTCACCCGACTCCATTGAAGTCGAGAGTAGAGACTCAAATCCCTATCAAGATGACGCTATTCCCGTTTCCTCCGGGTATTACAAAGCTCCATCTACCTACTCACACTATTTCGAAGCCCAAACTGCTGGCGAAACAGCCCCTCACCAAATCACCTGATACCTTAGAACTCACAACAACCCTGGTTTGCACCAGTGCGATGCAAAATCCAGAATTTCGCCGACGAGCCTTTGAGCGTGCTGCGGGAGCTCCCAAAACTTCAGAGTCGCGTTCAGAGGACGAAGCTGATACGGTAACCGACGATGATGATGAGAACAAGCCCCTGAACGGAGGGGAGGTGAAGATATGCTCTGGATGCATTACCCGTGAGCGTAAGCGTGCTGCGAGGAAGAAGGTCAAAAAGGTTGAAGAAGAAGAATCCTGGCACAAGGACGAAGACAAACGCGTGATCGTCTTCAACACCCATGAAATCAAAGACTGGCAACAGCCATCAAGCCAAGTGTTGTCCGATACGGTAGGAGACCGACGGGAACCAGTCGTTCACGAGGGCGCTTTACAAGTTGATGCTCCTATGCGCATTGCTTGTTATTGCAGGCATCAAAATGAGAAACTGGGGTTCCAGGTTATCTTCACAATCAAAGACTGGACGGGGCGACTGGTAGCTCAAGAGATTACATCTTCGATCATGATCACAGATGACCATAAGACACACAACATGCCTCCTCATTTAATGGGGCCAGGCGGCGCTGGTGTCAACGAACATGGGTACATGAATAACCCTGGCGTCGATATGAATTTCGATATGCCCATGGCATCGTTTCGTGCATCGCAGTCAAACACAGATGTGCAAAACCTCCAAAGGAACTACCCCTTATCATATGCTTCTTCTTCGGTACTTGGTACTCCTCAGGCATCTCAAAATGCCCCGAGCACGACGACTCCACGCAGTTTGTCGAGGCAGGCATCGCCTTCTGGATCAATTGGTCCGAGTAACAAAAAGCGAAAGGCTAGCGGGTCTAGCAAAGTCCCAAGCGGTCTCGCCATGACAAGACTCGAGACTATGCCGCAGCACCCTGGAGGCCTGAACCCTGCAGCCAATGGCTCGGGCGCTGCCTCATCTCAACCTCCATATGGAACTTCACCTAACATGTTCGCTTCCCCTCAAGACACAACGTTCAACCACATGCCCCAATCAGTACAACCGGGCCATACTCAATTTAACGCTGGGTCACCAACTCAAAACGGCAACGAGCAAGGATTTATCACCAATAATAATAGATCCCAAAGTATGGATAACCTTGCTCTGAACCAGCTATACTCGGCGCCAACCTCCACGCATCCAAGCCGCGCACCAAGTCCGAATAGTATGAGGAATAGCATACAGGCGTATCAACAGCAGCAAGCTCAGATTGCACAAGCAGTTGCTAATGGCCTATATGGGATGCCACTGCCGCTCAACCCCCAAAGGCCACCCACCATCCACAAGATGATTCCAAATGAAGGGCCAAAGGCTGGAGGGATTGAAGTAACGTGTCTTGGTAGCGGATTCTGTCAAGGCTTGGAAGTTATGTTTGGGGATGTGAAAGCCACTACCACGACATACTGGGGCGAAACGTCGCTTGTCTGCTTGCTTCCTCCTGCGACTACTGGCGGAACTGTTGCAGTCACATTCAAGCATCAGCACCAGCAGCAACTCCAGCCCTACCCGTCACCGCCGATCCTTAAGCAACAGGCATTCTTTAAGTATGTTGACGACGATGAACAACAGATTATAAGAACGGCTCTGTCTGTATTGGGGCACAAGATGACTGGGAGGATGGAAGATGTCCGTGACTTGGCACGAAGAATCGTGGGTGATGGACCATCATCTTGGGGTGCCGCTGGGGGTGCTTCACCGACAGGTGGAACGCAGCAACCACCTGTCTCTCGTTTCAACGCCGCCATATTCGGTGTTGACGTCGAAGCAACATTACTAAGAATACTGGACCTCATTGACTTAGATGATAGCTCGCATCTACCTCGCCTGAACATGCGACGAGCATCTGGTCAGACGATGCTTCACTTAGCGTGCTCATTGGGCCTTCATCGCTTTGTCGCGGCTTTATTGGCAAGAGGTGCTAACCCGGAGCCCCGTGATAAAGGAGGTTTCACACCGATGCACTTTGCAGCGATGCATAATCACCCTCAGATTATAAGACGACTCATTCTCTGCGGCGCAGATCCTTCGTGGAGGACTCTCCAGGGTTATACAGCCTCCGACTTATGCACATCCGAAGAAACTCTTCAATCCACTCGTCGTGTAGAGCGTCATAGCCGCAGGCGTAGTGGCGGCTCTATTCGTAGCAGGACAAGCAGCGCCACGTCCCTGCAGTCACTATGGGAACCGCGTCCAAATGGAGCTGAAGTTACGACATCGCCAGGTGTTAGTGACGACGCAGATGATACATCTGAGACCGAGGAGCCCGAATACAGCGATGAAGGAAGCGATGATGCTACACCCGATGAAGTATTTTGGATGCGCCCAAGACGCAGGAGCGCAGCTCCCCCAGACCTTGACACTTCGCTTTCAAATGAAGTCAATGGTCTCCCCGTCCCCACAACGGACGCCGTGGGAGCTGGGTTCGTATCACCGGCAGCAGCCATGACAGCGTTCCGCGATCATTTAACTGCACAGATTCAGCATATTCAACAGTCTATGCAACACCTTAACTTACCGCAAATCCCAAACCTACCAGACTACCAAGCATATTTGCCAACGGCACCTATGGTTCGCAGAATCAGCTCACTAGTACCACACATGGGCGCATCCAGAAATGCCGAGATTGGTCCAGCGAATAAAGAGGCAGATTCAAAATGGTGGGACCTTTTCTCCGGAACTGTATCGAATGCCCCTCCCGCATATGAGGATATCTTCCCCCATGAGGACGTCGACACCAAAAGAGCGTCGGCTACTCAGGCTGCAGCAGATGCGATCGCTGATGACAAATGCTCTACACTATACGACCAGGCACAGTCGTCTGGCTCGAGCGTGGCCTCGAGTTCCAAAACTTCATCGCAGGCATTAGAGAACCTGGATTCCAGTTCCAAGCACTCCATATCCGAAGAAGGACGTGCTCAAATCCGGCTGGCACATGGCAAAAAGATCCGATTCCGGAGTGATAGGAAGCTATTTTTCATTTGGGTATGTCATCCCCTTTCCCATTCTGTGCATGCAAAACGAACTTAACTAACTCCATATAGATTCCTATTCTAGTAATTATTGTGGCTACCATGCTCTACAACCGCGTACCCAAAGTATGGGCAGAGGGGACTCGACTTGTCAAGTCGTATGCTCGGTCGAGAGCTGAGCAGGCAGTGGAGACTTTGTAATTTACCAACCGTTTTTAAGGTTGTTCCCAATTTGGGATTATGACATTCAAGGACGCTTCTTGGGATGAGGGCTTGTTCAGTATTGGTGGGATTGAGATGATGGTTCTTTTATAGGGTGTTTACGAGGAGTGCGGTTGGGTACAGCGTGTTTCCCAGTTTGATATAATTGTTTACATTTTGTGGTTGTTAAATTCAGCCATGCCCCACTAAAGTCTCCAAGAAACAATGCGCCGTGATTGTGTGAGCGACTGATCCCTTTTTGACCAGTGAACGGACTGCCTTGCTGTAGTTGTTGAAAGACGCCGTCATGATTTGTTTTGCCTCCTCCGTGCCTGGGCCCGTTGGGCACCACTAACAGCTAACCTATCAGCCGCCTCGTTACTCGGATCATTTGAATGGCCCTTGATCCAGTTGAAAATCGTGCCGGATCCCTGCCCTTGCCGTTCCCTGATCCTCGCAAGAATGTCTACGACCAGGTCCTTGTTCATGACGGGCTGGTTGGTTGAGGTTAACCAGTTATTCGTCTCCCACTTCTTGAACCAGGTCGTCACACAGTTTATGCTGTAGTTGCTGTCTGTGTAGATGTGGACTTCACGGTGCATAGGCGCAATCTCAAGGGCGCGCAAAATAGCCGTGAGTTCGGCCCTTTGGTTGGTTTGAAGTTCGCCCTCCAATGCCTCGGAAATGTTCCTAATGGGCCAAAAATTAGTATTTCTTGCTGCATATACCAGGTCCATTCCAGTACAGCATCATCGTCAATGAAGTGCTCTGGATGGCAGGTTGAGACTCACCTATCATCTCCATCCCCAAAAAACACACCGACTCCTGCAACAGCTCCCACCTTTCCATTGGCTAAACTGCTGCCATCTGTATATATATTAAGAGGCTTCGACTTGGCATCGGCGGCACGAGATTTAGCAGCTGAGGTGGTGGCTGCTATCTGCACCGTACTTTGACTGGTCTTGGTCTGGTTGACCGAGGCCGCTGGAGACGTTTTTCTCCTCTTTGACGACACCGGAAGGCTCTCAACATCCGATACTTCATCGTCCGAATCCTCGGGTTGTTCATCTTCGTCTATCAATTCTGTGGTGCCTGAATCCACCTTGCCCGGGCGGCCCCCAGCTTGAACAAATGCTTCCGCCTCGCCCCTTGTGCTAAACCTTTTATATTTAGGTAGCTTCCATCCCTTTATCTGCTCTTGAGCAGTCGTCCAGTCCGTATATACACCAGGATTGTGGCCACTCGCCACGCCATAAAAACGGGCTTCTCCAACAGATGCAGAGGGGCCGGAGGTCGACTCTCTCCCAGATACAAATGCCTCTGCTTCGGATCGAGTAGAGAACGATTTGACTTGCAAAGTTAGACATAAAGCCAATATGAGGAATACAGAACAACTCACAGCTAGCGCCTTTGAAACCAGTAATGCTCTCCTTGCACTCGTTCCAATCAGAGTAGACGCCCGGGTGACGGCCAGCTCGCACGGCGTAGAATTTGGGCTGGTTGGCAGCTTTTCTCTTCTTAGAGGCCGACTCTGGCACGCCCTTCCCTCCCAATGCAGCCATCCTAGGCTCAGTAGTCTCGTGATAAAGAGGCGCGACGGTTGCTATAGAGCGGACAAACGGGCGAATTCCAAGCTGCACCCCAGGCACTAGGGCAACGGACGCGATTTCAAAGAGACGGCGGTTACTGATGAACCGGGCTGGTAATTTCAAAAGTTGCCTGTAGCGGAGTATTGCGTTTACAGGCCCTGGTTGTCACCAGAGGGAAGCTGTACGGGCCACCGTCTCCATGTGGCTGGTAGGTTCGCTCTTGCTCTCGAACAAAGACAAGATGCGACACGAACGATCTTATCCAATCAAGACCACTGAGTGGAAACGCAGCAGGTCATAAAGATATGAGCCCAAAATACACCAGGAGGATTTACGTTTCGTGTGTTTGCAGTTGAGACTCTGGGTGTAAGTCAGGCACAGCCTTCTCCCACTTCATTTGCTGGTACGTAGTCCCCGCCTTATGCAAGGCTGTTGAATCCCAAACGAGGCTTATCTTAGATTACTCCACGGCTCAGATGTACGACTGAAAGCTTCACGAAAGAACAAAGCAACGGGAATTATCATGTTTTATTTATAATTATGCTTGCATGTCACATCTATCGTTTAAAGGGGGAGGTTCATGGCCTTCGGTCTCCCACGCCAGCAACGACCAGTTCAACTCTTTTCTCCAGAACAGTCCATGCCCCAGTTGTGAAGTGTGGGGTTGTGCGACAGTTCCAGAGGTTGTGCCTTCGCTACAAAGCCCTCCTGTTGCTGGCGCTCGTGAGTCAATGACGACTCTGCCAAATCTGGAGTGTAACAGCGCCATGGAACACATGACACAAGGCTCATGGGTCAAGTATATCTCCAGGTTGTGACACAGATATCCGTCTGGGGATACTGTACTCTCGTTGAAGACAGAATGTTCTTCAAGATGCATGGGCATATCAAGAAACATTGCGCTTTCCAGTTCATCAAGGGATGATGGTGGAGGCGCGTCGCCCTTTTTCCTCTCAGCCGTTCTCATTTTCTGGGCAATCATGCCTATAGCGCGCAGAATGGAATGTGCCATGACATTACCTTTTGGGGAACTCCTCCCCTTGGCCCAGCGTGCATCTCCGGCCAGCGCCAAAGCACGAGTGGTGCCATTGTCTCTCTGGACAATAACTGCGCCAGTACCCTCGCCGGTCCCAGAGGCTACCGAGGCCTGGGCAACGCTGTGGGCCATTCCCATCCATTTGTCCAGATCACCGGCCATCTCATCCTCCGCTCGAGAAAGTATATGTGGGTGTGGGCCAAATGGATTGTTCTTCTTATATACTGTCGGCCAATGTGTTGTAGTCCATTTCGTGGCCTGCTCCTGGGAGGTTGGCGCAAGTTGCGGCACAGGAATTGTCCAGACCGCCGGCGCACTGTGCTCTGACAATGGCAGCACATTAGAGATACACTCCTTTAACGCTGGAAGGTCCATAGAAGCTGTGGGAGCCACCAGCAAGCAAAGGCTTGCCTGGCCATCGGCAACAGGGGCGGCGGTATCGGAAGGGGAGACCAGCAACTTCAAGTGCGGGGGTAGGTCGTGGAGCTTCGCAAATCGTCGTAGGTGCTGTAAGTCGACCGCATACTCATCTTGGATCAAAGAACGCACCGCACTCGCATATGTCAGCATTCGAACCCATTGACTTGTGTCGGCAGCTAACTCACCTCAGTACCGAATTGGCAGATTTGATGGGGACAGTTGTGATGTAGACATCAATGGTGGAGTCCCCGGCTTTCAGCTCCAGTAAGGTCTTCAACGGTTTGAGGCGCCGCACTGGGGGTGGGATGGTGGCCATGGGGGTAGGGATAGGCCTTGGTCACCGCATTTCCGGAGTATCAGCAACGTGGGAAAGCGGGGTTTGGTTTGGAGGCAAAGGAGGCTGAATACTCAGATGGGAGCATCGGCCGTAGAAAGTCGAGCTGGGCAATGCTTTTACTGGCAATCATAACGTAATTCCAGCATAATTGTAGGCTATCTCTTATCGCACGTGATGTCAATTTTACGGTGGGGGGGGGATTACTCCGGCCAAAAGCAAAAACTAAGGCGGTACAAATGGGCAGAAATCTTTTTTGAGGAGGCTAGGAGACGCTTGTTGTTCTCAGTTTCGTGGTGTGGATGTCCGTACCTGTTGTACCCTCTCCGCTAGACTTAATTAAGCGTCCACTAGGGTAATACTTCGGCGAGTACTTGCTGTAGGAGTCACTCATTAACAATATTTACATTGGTGCTGTTATATATTGCTATATCCCTTCTAATACTCCGGACATATATCATATATTGTGAGGAAGAAGGAGATGAGGGAAGGTAGCCAGTACAGATGGTACGGCCGGCATAGCTGGAAATGCCTTTTGATTGTGCTACTCATGCCTCATAGAATCTAAAGTATCACAATACCTATGTCTCCAGCCGCGGAGAAGAGAACGTACCACACTACCACACAACTCGTACGGCGAGTAGAGTCATAAAGGGTCAGTAAGTTACAATGTTGCTCACAGTTACTGGTGTGATGCTGTGATGCTGTGAGTCTCAGACAAGGTTTCTCCGCCGTCGCCGCCGCCTCGTTTCCATTTGGACAAACTAGTACGAATCATGCATAAACGTGGGGTTCAAGGCATGCGTCGACAGGGAAGGTAGGTGCGATGGACTGTGTTTCGAAGGGTACGTGGAACTATATTTCCAGCTATACGGAGTGTGGATGGATGTACTTCGGACCGAACGGATGGAGGAACTCTAATGTATATATAACGTGGGCACTCATATAACATATACCCTACAGTCGGGGGCATATATATGGGATGATATGTAACTTACTATAGCAGGTATCATATGGGTGAAATAGATTACTATACTCCATATACTAGCATATACATACTACCACACACTACTACATACTACTACATACTACTTACTGTACTTCATATATTGCTAGATATCAAGTGTCACCTAGGATGTGCGTACCTAAGCCTAAAGTAGACACGTTGGAAAGGGGTGGGGGGGGGTTCTAGGGATTGTTCCTCGGAGATCTGGCATGTAAGACGATATACTAGGTACGATATGATCGGAGTGATATATGTACCCTATTATAGACTATACTACAAACTATACTACAGTCTGTAGAGTGTGAGGCCAGGCTATGGACAGAAGGAGAAAAAGAGAAGACACACCACCCATCTAGAAGATCTCCTCACATTCCATATGCAGACATTCTAGACATCTAGACATCTAGACAACTAACTGTTGGTGGCTTCGGGGAGTACAAACACATCCCGTACCGCGTGCCTTTGTCTGCATGTACCCTGCCTGCACCCACTGCAACCCACTGCACCCAGTTTCGTGCCGATTTCCCCGTCGGGCGCCTGAACCGCCTTAGTGTGTCGCCAATCGCACTGGTGACAGGCCTTAAGCAAAGCTAAATTCTGCTAAAATCTGCTAAAATCTGCTAAAATCGCCAAATTCCATGCATCTCCCCGGTCAAGCATGTCATTTATTGTACTCCAAGTAGCACTCCCCAGTACTCCCAGTACTCCCAGTAACGCCCCCGTACTCCAATTCTGACTCCAACTAACTCCAACCTACCACTAACGACTGACTTTATCCTTTTTGGTCCTTTTTGGTCCTCACTGATCGTCGCATACCCCAACAACTAACAACCACCTCTCTTCCTTCTTCCCAAAAAACCATATCCCCCAACAAACATCCAACTGAGCGCAACGACACAACCCCAAGGCCAAATCGACTCTTCGTCTCATCACAACTATTCTCTATATACTATACTATACAGTCTCGATCTGAGCGTGCCAGCCTCACCAGCTGAATTTCATTACTCCCGAAATTCTTAGCCAAGAACTCCAAGCAACTCACCAGTACCTCTTCGCCGGCACATCCGTCTCCCCCAAAAGTCTTTACAGCCTCAGCCTCAGCCTCACCTGTCCAGCCGAGTCCACGGCTCTATTACACCTTCAACCCGCCGGAGCCAATAATTGTCCCGAAACCCGCTATTGAGGACCTCAGTCTCTCGCTGCCTCGCAGTCCACTTGCAGGCGGCGGCACGCCCACGATATTCCTCGCCTGATGCCTCACTTCACTCCCGGGGCAGTTGTTGACAATGAAATCGCAGGTATGCGTTCACCATGGTATCTAGGTATGCCGTTAACTAATTCCGTCATAGACAGCTTGAGGCGACAGTCTCAACTCTCGTCCATCGGAAAAGCTGCAATCATGAGTAATGTAGTCGCCGTGGACACTTCCAATGATCACCACTCCAACAAAGAGACGCGCGAAATCAGACCAACGTCCCATGGCCTGGTACCGTCGCCATCTATCCCCAATGGCCTGGTGCCGTCACTATCCATAGCCCATGGGCTGGTACCGCCACCAACTCTTCCCCATGGACTGGTCCCGCCGATACCTATTCCCCATGGGCGTGTCCATCCGACGATTCCAAACGGCCATGGCTGCGGCTCACACGATGCTGGGAGTCACACCCCAAGCGAGGCTTCTGTTGGCAGTACTCCATCGACAGCACCCGGTAGCCCTCATCTGTGAGTTCCCATCCAGAAGCCCCATAGCCTTCCATGGTTTGTACTAATTTCCCTAACTAACAAAGTCGCAGCATGCCAATTAGACAAAACTCGGGTTCGAGCACACCTCGGACACGACCTCCTGCAACAACGCTTAATATTCCTGGGATGACACGGTCCAGGGTTTCTCCCGATGGCCGTATTGCAGAGCGAGATGTGGCATCCAAATTGGTGATTATAATGGTTGGTCTGCCAGCAAGGGGGAAATCGTACATTACCAAGAAAATACAACGGTATCTTTCATGGCAGCAGCACAACAGTCAGATCTTCAACGTTGGTAATCGACGACGAGTGGCAGCTAGTGCCCAACCAGGGTCATCCAACCTTACAGCCCAGATACAAGCCCGAGCAAAAGCAATGACAAACACGGATGCTCTCCCAGAGACTTCCAAAGTCTCGGGCACAATGGATGGACCCACCCAGGCTGCACATATACTTCTCAATGGAGTCGAACCTAGCCAAAACCAAGAGTCGGCTTCTCGAGACCATTCGGAGGAACCCAAGGCACCGATGGAGCCCTTTGACCAGAGTGCAGAGTTCTTTGACCCCTCTAACGCGCGAGCGTCCCAGGTGCGAGAGCAGGTAGCCATCTCGACACTCGACGAGCTACTTGATTATCTTTTACTCCAGGGCGGGTCTGCTGGCATTTTAGATGCAACGAATAGCACACTTGAGCGACGAAAAATGCTGTTCAATCGCGTCAAGGAACGGGATTCCAAGCTTGGCATACTATTCATCGAAAGTATCTGCGAAGACCAAGGGGTAAGGACATCGAGTCTAATTGTAAAGCTTATGCTAACCATACTACTATAGCTCCTGGAAGCAAATATGCGTCTGAAGCTATCTGGCCCAGACTATAAAGGCAAGGACCCAGTGACGTCCTTGGAAGATTTTAGAAAACGAGTTGCGGCCTATGAAAGCGCATATGTCCCGCTCGGCGAGTATGAAGAAAAAATGGGCATCCAATATATTAAGGTAAGGATTTGTTTGATTAGAACTTGGTAAAGAACGTCGCTAATCCGTACCAGATGATTGATGTTGGACGCAAAGTCATACACCACCAATTGAAGGGGTTTCTAAGCGGAGGAATAGCCTCATACCTAACCACGTTCAATCTTTCCCCGAGACAGATCTGGATTACCCGCCATGGAGAATCATATGATAATAGGGAAGGAAAGCTCGGTGGAAATTCCGACATTACGCCAGAGGGTCGCGCTTATGGTGCTGTCCTGTATAACTTCATGACTCAGAAACGAAAGGATTGGCTGGTAGAGCAAAAAGACAAAATTTTGTCCTCCAGCTTTCCACCACAACCTGGAGACAATACACCTCCGTATCCCGAGAGCCGCCTCGGCGAGCTCGACGAAAAGAATTTCTGCATCTGGACATCAATGCTCAAGAGAAGCATTCAAACAGCAGAAGATTTCGAGGCCGATGACGATTATGACGTAAAGAACTGGGAAATGCTCAATGAGCTGAACGCGGGTGATTTTGAGCGACTCACATATGAGGAAATAGAACACAATTTCCCGCTGGAATTCAACAAACGGAAGCAGGATAAGCTCCACTATATCTATCCTGGAGTAGGAGGAGAAGGCTACCTTCAAGTTATCAGTCGACTTCGGGATATGGTGAGAGAGATCGAGAGAATTACCGATCATGTCCTCATCATTGGACATCGCTCCATTGCCCGAGTCCTCATGGCTTACTTCATGGACCTAACCCGAAACGACATCGCTGATCTTGATGTCCCCCTTGGGATGTTATTTGTCATTGAGCCGAAGCCTTACGGTGTGGACTTCCATGCGTACAAATATAATGAAGAGAGCCAATGGTTTGACGAGGTGAAGGACTACAAGCCTCACAAGGAAACACGAAAAGGGAATTAATTAGTCGACTTGAGTTAACAAAAGAAGGGTGTTTGATTGCCACACAGGTAGTAGTTGCAGGAGTTATTGGTATGATTCGTGGCGTGGAGTAATGGGCAGCTTGGGTTAATGCGCACACATGGAGGGAAGGGACTTGTTTTTCACGCAATTACTTAGATTTTGGAGTTCGGAATTAATGTAGACAGGGTAATATGAAATGATTCATATATATGGCCAAGTTAATTGCCCTAAGTAGCTTGTGTAAGCCCATATTGTTAGAATAAATAAATATATACTAAGTTATGAAGAGGACGGACAGTTTATCCTACCTAGGATGGTTTAATGGTTTTAAACAGGCTTACATATATTTTTCACACAAATAGCAGAACCTTTTTTGTCTTATTAGTGTTTAGTTAATACACTCGTAGGTGACTTGACAACCGTAGGTAAATTGGCCTACTTAATAGTTAAAACAAGCAAGAATTAGTATTAGGTTTTAAGAGTTAACGTAGGTCGTGGCGTAACGGGTGTAATGGCGTAACGGGGGTATGTACCTTTACAGCTAAACTTGTAAGCAATAGTACTTAGAACCAAAAACTTCAAACCTAAATAACTCTATAAATAAAATTAGTGAACCTTATTCCTTATATATATTAGAACTGTATATAATACTCTTTTACATAAAAAAACGCTAGTAACACTATAATTGTTTTGCATAAGTTATTAAAGGTCTAAGATTTTACCATACAAAATATTAGTATGGTAAATCTATAATTGTTAATAACTTCCTTATATAACTAGCTTACAGGCTGAAATTTCTAAGTCGAATATATGTATATATAAAGTTTCTATATACAAAAGTATTATACTTCACATCACCTACTTAAGTAGTTATTAAAGGTTTTAATACTAGTCACGTGATATAAATTCGCTAGCAAAATACCACTACCCCCGTTACGCCATTACACCCGTTACGCCACGACTTACGTTAACTTATATGGCGGACATAAATTATATTTAGTAAACTAGATATTTGACATTTAAATTAAATGTATATCATCATGTATAATTAGTAATCCCATTAACTGTCTGTTAATAAAAAAAATAGAATTCATCTTTATAAAGTTTAGATTTTTTTTATAATAAATAAATACAGCCCGTAGCTCCCTTGCATTTTTTAAGAAATTAAGAACAGTACTGTTGTTAGCTTTATAGGGATTAAAGTCTTAGAAGGAAAAAACTTTAAGTACAAAAACGGCTAAACATAGATGACTTTAAGTTAATGTTTTAGGGGCATAAGCTTAGAAGATTTTTTTTGTATATTTCTAAAGATCTAAGTTAGGGTTTATATAAATGCTTCACTCTTTATGTGAATCTCCTAGCATAATTATTAGAGTAGCAAAGCATATGACAACAATGTCACGTGTAAACAAACAACCAAACACTCACGTGATAACCTAGAACACGTGTAGGAACAACAACACCATGTAATAACCTAGAACATAGGGTGTAGAAGGTACAGCTCACGTGATAACTTAGGGCACGTGTAGAGTAGTATCCTAGTAGGTTTATACAAAAGGAATATCCTTTGTATAAACATAGAATTAGACCTTTAGAAATATACAAGTTCTTTCCTTCTAAGGCTTTAATCCCTATAAAGCTAACAATACTATATGTCTATTCTATGTCTGTTTTAAGTCCTAAGTTTTATCTTCTATACTACGTGTTATAGGTTATAGGTTACTATACGTGTTTTAAATTATTACATAGGTACGTATTTCCTAAATATATTCTAGGTTATTATATAAATGCATATATTTGTTAAAACCATTAAACTATGCAAAAGTAGAACGCCTACTCTTTATAGTAGTAGTCTTAGGTTAGTTTATAAACTCTAACATACTCCCTTAGCTTCCTATACTTTAGTATATAAAGGTAGATATATACCTCTATAGCCATCTTCTTTATATACTATTTCTTTTACTTACTTATTGCTTATTATTACTTAATATAAAGGGTTTTTTTTCGTTTGTATAGACAAACTATATAACGTATCACTCGTTTGTACAAAGTATTGCTTGTTATATAAGATGTATCATTATATAAGTTATGCTACTTGTTTTTATACATAGTATTGCTTGTCTATAACGTAAGTCATGGCGTAACCGGCACAATGGCGTAACCGGCATAATCATGTGTTGTTCCCTCACCAAAAAAAATCAACTTTTTTAATAAGGTCGTGAATATTTTATAGCTTCTATACATAATAGAACAATATGCGTACTATTACCATACAAAAGAGCTAAGCTGTACAGTCAAAAATGCAAAAGTTATGATCATTTCAAAAATCATTAGAAGTAAGTACCTTTCTATACAAAGTTCAGTGTAAAGTGACATTATGCCGGTTACGCCATTGTGCCGGTTACGCCATGACTTACGTTATAAATACTCTAGTAGAAATATGTATAAGCCAAACTCTCTAAAATGCGTAAGAACTAACTTATTAAAGCCTTCCTTAATTTAATATTAGCTATTCTATTAAGATAGAAAAATTGTAGATATATAGAACCTATATATTATCCATAAAGAAGAAGTTATACTCTAAGACATTAATTTATAATTCTAACATTATGCAAGATTGGTATCTAAGCTGCTGTTTTCAGCTGGGCGCTGGTTGCTGCTTTACCTAGCCCCGAACACCTAAAATCTTATCACGTGCCTAAGATTACGATCTTGAATGCCTTTTTGAAAATGCTCCAAGATCGCACTAATACTAATAGACCCTTACTTCTCCAAGGTTCAAGTAGGTTTTACTTGTGTGTATAGTGGTGGCTTATCGACTAGGCCCGACTTGAAATAATTCTATGAAGGTTTTGAGGACCTTGAATTCAAGGACATCGCCAAAAACTATTTTGACCAGCGCAGTTTCTTCGTCTTTCGCGATGGCTGGATAAGGGCAGTCGAACGTAGAATGCGAGATATGGACGCCACTAGATGGTGAGTTCTGCGCATGGTGACGCTGAGCAATTGTCGCTCGGCATGGTGGTACCATCGCCGAGCGACAATTGCTGAGCGTCTACGATTACAAATTAATGTCAAAACGCCTCGGCCGCCTTAAATAAACACAATGAGCTCCATACCCCCTTCTATATCCTTAGGCGCTCCATGAGAGGTGGCTCGTCTGAGATCTTTGTGGTATAAGTTAGTAAGAGAAGTAAAAATCCAAAAAGTGAAATTCGCTTATGTAAAATCATTTAGGAAGAGTGCCTATGGCCGACGAGAATTACGTCTAAATCCCAGCGAATAACATCAGCGAACATACATCATCCAAACTTGGTCTTCTTCATGAGACGGACCGCCTACATCCTAATTCCCAGCGAATACCATCAGCGACGTACAGCATCAAAACATGGGAGCCAATTAATAGGGGAAGACAGTTTTTTGTCAGCACCAGAACAAGTAATCAGTATCATTTGTTATTTGTGAAAACAATAAGGCCTAGCATTATCACATCGCTTGAACACATTTGCCTTCACTTCCTACCTTCCCTCTGTTGCTCTCGACAACATCATCCTGACTACCTGCTTCTATCCGGAAGCTTAATTGTCTTCATTGCCTACTCGACCATCTTCCCAGTCGCTAAGGGGGAAGTATTCAACGACCTCTGGGGGGTGGGTCTCATTCCCAACTACGCTCCCTCCGTACGTAAGGTATCCTTCCACTTCTGGTGTGTCAATCAATGTGAGCACTTCAGTCTGGTTTCCCATAACCCAAGCCTGTAATAAACGTATTAGTAGTATCTCTGAAGATGCCTAATTACTCTCAAAATATAAAAACTCACAGAGTTCATGCCCCACACCATATGAGGTAAAATATGGCAGTGAATCATCCAAACACCTGGGTGATTAATCCTAAGTCTCCAAGCCCTCCATGCTGTGAGTGTTCCAGGCGGTGCTTGTCCGCCATACATGTAAATGTTTGTCGTACTATCCTAAGATTAGTGTTGATGTTCTCAGTAAGGCTCTCGCCCAGTGCCCCCAGACGTCCTTCTGGAAGCTACTGAAGTTTGGGAGACAGGGGTAGGGTTACATACTCTCTCTTGACGGGGTGTCCTATAGACCTACGCCATTTTGCTTCATTTTCCTCGCGATTGTATACACCCTCTCCAGAACCCAAATCCCAGTAATGGGCTCCATGAGCATGCCATGGATGCGTCTCTGTTGTACCAAACGCAGTCCCGGTGCTTTGGACCACAATCTCAATCACCTCTCCCATAACCGCTGGGAAAGCGTAAGTGACTGGGTCTAAACCATCATGCTGAAGAGCACGCTCCATAGACGGCCAGTTGGAGCCGCCATCCTTGTAGAGGCTGACAAGAAAAGGCTCCTGCACAAGATCCTCCTTCCAGGTTTGGCCATTTATTTTGTAGAGCAAGCCATAGTTGGGAAAATCTAGATAAGAAGTGATATTAACTCTTCGAGTCACTTCCTCTGCAGTAGGGAAATCAAGTGCGTTAATTGATGCAGTAGGGTTTTGTGAATCATTGTAGGGCCGAAGCGAGTACTCTAGCCAATTAGGGTCTGTCTGTGGTAAGGTGATAGGAGGCGAAGCTGGTGGATAGACTGGAGGAGAGGACTCAGTTTGCGGAGGACCGTAGTTAAGGACTGCAAACGACCGAGTATTATTTCCAAATTCGCGACTCTCTAGCTGTATATAGTAGTATTGCTTATCTGGCGTTTCGAGGGTATCGAGAAGGAAACTGTATCGTTGGCCTGGGCTAACTTGCATAAGTGAAACCTCATGCCTTTCAGTGTAGGCCCTATTCATTGTCAGTTTCATTAGCAAAAGAGAGGATATAAGGAGATATACCCATCAGCTTCGATCACTTTAATAGTATCATGGCCCTCAATAGCTAGAAGATTAAATGATAAGGCAGTTCCACCAATAAGCCTTACTCTGTAAGTTTTCCCAGGTTCAACATCAATAACAGACAATGAATCATCGCATGGCTTGCCTAGTTCTGATGAAACAATACCACTTCCTTTCCCGTTAATAAGTACCATTTCTTGAGACCCTTGATATGCTATAGGGACAGCTAGCAATTTTTCTTCTAGAACTTCATCGCTGTACTCGAAGACGTCTTGTAGGAAAATAATAAGGTCATCATCGTAGTTATACGGGGGGGTATCTTTATCCTCGATCTGTAGTGTATTAGTACAAGAAAAAAGCACCAACTTAAGTGAATAGAAAATGTTCCTTACAATTAACGGCCCTGCAGCAGAGATAGCCTGGAGACCAACGTGCGAATGATAAAAATATGTTCCCGCATAACCAATTGGCACATGAAGCTCATAATCGAAGAAATGGTGAGGAGGAATGGGCCATTGGGAAGCCTGAGGAGTTCCATCAGAGAATGGGGCTGTTGCCATAGTAAGACCATGCCAATGCTAGTTGACAGTTAGCTGAGAGTGGCCACATAAGTCTCCATATATGTCATGGATTGTCTAGATGAGCATAAGGAAGCTGCGTTGGATCTTACCATCGTAAGGTTCTGATGAGCAATATCATTGTAGACTCTGATCCAAACCGTCTTGCCTTCCGTGAATTTGAGGGTTGGCCCTGGACTGGTACCGTTGACAACTAAAATATCTTTCAGTGGCACACAAGACTGTTTTCTCTCCTCTTCGGTGACTCGGAGAACTGCATCTGGGATAAAATGTTCATTGTGAGTCGCTGCAGAGGCTACCCCAATCAACTCTGTTGTGAGGACAGATATAAATAGGAGGAAGAAACGCATCTTCAAACTTCAAATAAATAAGAGGCCGCCTGAGAGAATTTGAGAAAGTTTAAGGAGATAAAAAGCGTAATGCAATATATCAAGGCTTTTATACCTTGGCCTTTCGTTTAGCTACAAGATAAACCCTATCCAACTCCCGATGTCTTCATTAAAATCCCTACACGTGGACTACTCGGGCTGAGAAATAATAAACAGTGTACCTCACTGTCACAGAATTCGTTCCGAGACAGAAGTAGAGCTGAGATTAAAGCAGACCCTGGCATATGAACTGTACGCCTGTAAAGATTCCATTCACTGGCTGGGAATGCATCAGCAGAGACAAAAGCTGTTATCGTGCCTATTGAAATAGCGAAATGCGCAGGCTTTAGGTAAGTCAAATCTGCAAAGTTGAACCTGATCCAACTCTTCTGTGGAGACTTGTTAACTCGAAGACATTCCTGCGTAACCTTCAAATGAGTTATTATCTTGTGACATGGTGATCTACACCTTCATCGTGAAAAATATATCCCAGGTGTCTCTCCTATGCTTACTACATGCGAAACAGCCCTCCGGATATGAGCCTTCATGTAAGGACAATGACCAACACTAATCTTCTGAATATGGTTAACTGGTTACGTATCTGCCTAATAAACCGCGTTGCATAGCACTTCATGGGTAAAAACGGAACTGTGCCCCTATGTCTCACTCCTGTCACATGTTTTGTGCTCATCTGCTGGAGCTCAAAGGCCTCAGCGAAATACCGCAGACATGTCTCTTTAAAGACTGGGAGGAGATCCTCAGCAGTTCATTGCAGATCCCTCCAGCCCGTAGGCGTTGGGACGAAGCTAGGCTCCGGGGTTCTTTCGAATATCTCCTAGTAGCTCGTATCTGATGTCTAATGTTTCAGACAGATCTCCTAAAGGGGTTTCCCAAGAACTCTATTAGAGTTCCGAATTCGTTGCTTTCTCGCCGCACAGGGTTCTGCAGCCGCGGAAACACCGCCGCCAGTCTCCATGCACAGATCTGGCGTTACACTGCTGAATCAGGAGGGCCAAATGAGTCCAGACTGCGCTGGATCGGGCCAAGAGTGGAGAGACGACTAGGGGAACTTACCTCATGAGGCGAAGAGTGACATCAAGGGCTGCCTGATGGCAGCGTCAATTGTGATGAGCTGAGCCAAATGCCCACCTGATGGACTACAGGAGTCTCAACACGAAAACCACAACTGTGGTAGCTAGCCATCGGCTTGACTGAAACAGAGAACAAAAAGGCTTGCGTGGTGAGATCAGAGACGGCCGTTCAGGAAGTCTGCGAGATGATCAGTAGGGATGATACCAGCTGAAAGCAAAGCGAGGTCGGGTTTCCGTATACAGAATCTGCAGTCGTGACTGTGCATGCTTCTCTCTCAAACATTGATTCCCTCAGCATGTTTTTGATTGGTATAGTTCTTTGAAGTATTGATGTGAATCTGAAGGCTGAGATTTATATTCGACTTCACGCTAGCGTGGACGGGTGGGTATGTCTGTGTTGGAGGTCCGTGTCTTAATCAGCTAGGGAGGAACGCTAGAGCGATCAAGGTACACTTCGCAGCGCTGCCCCTCCCAGGGCGTCTCATCCAGAACAGCGCCCACATCGGACCCACGAATCAAACCCTGCGCCTCGCACCCAGTCCCTCGATGCCCACACCAAGGTATAACCTGCCAACACAACCCGCAGCCCTTGACTCTCCGCCAACAAGTACACCCAACCCCTCTCCGTATCTAAACCCTCTAAAACATCCCCAAAGCACCTATCTGCAAGCCTCAAACCACCCTCTCCGAACTCTGTCGGCTAAAATACAGACAAAGGTACGCCTGCCCCTTACTGGACGGTTTCTGCAAAGCCGTTCCTGAGCGCCCAAAACGTCAAAAATGTGCTAATCCTCCGCATCACCGAGCAGGTTATAGGAATGCAGCAACAATCATAGCCGTCACAAGAGAAGCATTTTTTCCCTCTGCCTCAGGCTTGACAAAGCTCGAGTGCTCGAAGCCGCCGAGCTGATTTGCACGTTGGGAGGGAGGAGCGACGGTGGAGAGGGACAGAGTCGGGGGGGAAGCTTAGAAGGGAAAAACTTATTTATTTCTAAAGGTCTATTCTTTATATAAACCTACTAGCATAACGTAACGTAAGTCGTGGCGTAAGCGGCGACATGGCGTAAGCGGCGATTCTAAAAACCCCACCAAAATCTAGGACAGAACCACCAAACTACTTAACAATGCTTATACTAGTAGAATGGTTAGACGGAGGAATAAACAGGCTCAAGAGCTTGATTTACGACTTTCTGAAGCAGTTCTAGGAATTCAAACTAGAAAATACAAATCTGCTTAAGCTGTAGCTATTGCTTTGAACTTAAGACCTAATACTATGCAGAGACGCGTATAGGGTATACTAACGCAAACAGAAGCGCGTTAACAACAACAACTCCTTTTAAAAAACTAAGAAAAGACACTTTTAAAGTAGATTAAAGAGCTTACTATAAGCGGCTACACTCCTAGCCATTAGATATTACGTAAGGTTGCAGATGAAGTCTAGTTAAATAAGTGTTGCGTTTTTCGCGTTTTTTAGCCTTAACAACAACACCTATAACAACAACCTTAAACTTAACAACTATAACCTTAAATATCTCCTAAGTTACCTCCTAAGCAGGATTAGGTTCTATAATTTATTTAAAGGTATCCTAACTTACACGTTAAGTTAAAACGTAGAGTTAAGGCGTAAAGGATAAATAAGGTAACAAAAGAGGTATTAAAGGGGTAGTTTAACGCGTATAAGAGCGTTATAACAGAGCTAAAAATCGAAAACTACAACACTTATAATATAGACGAGACTAGATTTTTAATTAGAACTATATAATCTACACAAATTATAGTTAATTCTACACTCTATATACAATTCTAAGCTTATCCTAGCTAATAGGAATAGGTATCTACAGTTAAGTGCATCTATATAGACAGAACAGCTATTAACCCTCTTATTATCTTTAAAGGACAGAATATCCTACAAAGTTAGATTCTAAAGGAAGTTATACAAAAATAGCACTTCTTTACAAACATAAAAGGGTAGATAAGCAATCTATATAGATTAGAGTAGTTAAAACGCGTTTTTAAGCTCTCTATAAGAGCAAAAGCAACATAAAATAGACAACTATAGTAACGGCTTCTAATTTGTAATAGCTATAATAGCTATATAAGTAGAAGCTTTATATTATACTATATTTAAAATTGAATATCGCTCTTTATACTACCTCCTTATATATCTTATGTTCTATAGCTACTTAATATTTCGATTTTTAAGCCCTTAAAGCAATACCTTACAACTGCTCTCTTACACTTAAATAAGGTGCAACTCCTATAAATATAGAAAGTAGAGTAGCTAGAAGCATATATAAAAGCAAGAGTAGCTGCTTTTTTTAACTTCAAATATAACTTCTGCTTAGAGAGGGAGTAGGCTAATGACTGTCTATAGCTATTCTAGCTATAGACAGTCATTTAAGCAGCTACGCTCTCTACTATAGACATAGTAGTATTAGAACGGCTAACGTAGGTCATGGCCAGACCTGCTACATGGCCAGACCTGCTACATGGCCAGACCTGCTACCCCACCAAAATCTAGGACTAATCCACCAAACCCCTAACTACAACCACCAACACTACTATAATGGTTAAGCGTAGGAGTATAAAGGCTCAGGAGCGCAATTTACGACTTTCTGAAGCTGTTCTAGGAGTACAGACTGGAAAATATAAATCTTCAAATGCTGCAGCTATAGCCTTAGGGCTATGGCCAGACACTGTACGTAAACGCGTAAGTGGTGTACAGCGTGTACAGGCTGAAGCGCAATTACCTAACCAGCTATTGTCAAAAAATCAGGAAATTGTCCTCTTAAAGTGGATTAAGGAGCTTACTGCAAGTGGCTACGCTCCTAGCCATCGGATATTACGTGAGGTTGCAGACGAAGTTCGGTCAAATAAGTGTCGCGTTTTTCAGCCTCAACACCTACAACTACAACAACAACCTCAAACTCAACAACCTCAAATACCTAACTTACCTCTTAGGCAAGAGTGGGTGCCACGATTCATTTAAAGGCATCCTAACTTACGTGTTAAGTTAGGACGTAGAGTTGAGGCACAAAGGATGAATGGGGTTACAAAGTAGGTGTTAAAGGGGTGGTTTGACGCGTATAAGGGCCTTATAACAGAGCAAAAAATCGAAAACTACAACACCTACAATATGGATGAGACTGGATTTTCAATTGGAACTATGCAATCTACACGAATTATAGTCGATTCTACACTCCGTACGCGTTTTCAAGCTCATCCTAGCCGACAGGAATGGGTGTCTGCTGTTAAATGCATCTGTATGGACGGAACAGCTATTAAGCCCCTTATTATTCTTAAAGGACAGAACATCCTACAAAGCTGGATTCCGAAGGAGGTTATACAAAAATGGCACTTCTCTGCAAACACAAAAGGATGGACAAGCAATCTTTATGGATTAGAGTAGCTAAAACGCGTTTTTGAGCCCTCTACAAGAGCAAAAGCAACACAAAATGGAAAACTACAACAACGCCTCCTTATTTGCGACGGTCATGATAGCCATATAAGTGGAAGCTTTATATCACACTGTATTCAAAATCGAATATCGCTCCTTATAATACCTCCTCATACATCTCATGTTCTACAGCCACTTGATGTTGCAATTTTTGGACCTTTAAAGAAACACCTTACAACAGCCCTCTTGCACCTAAATGAAGCACAACTACTACGTATACGGAAGTTGGAATGGATAGAGGCATACATTACTGCAAGAGCAGCTGCTTTTTCAAATGTAAATATCACTTCTGCTTAGAGAGGGAGTGGGCTACAGCCATTTCAACCACAAACAGTCATTCGGGCAGCTACGCTTCCTACAACAGACGTTATATTAGAACGCCCACATACTCCTACAGAGCATGATATTTTTGAGAAGGTATTCTTAAACAGCAGTCCACCTGACTTTCAAACACTCTAAAAAGCAAATTCTATGCTCTCTACAGCCTTAAATTAAGGTGTTTTAAATACTCTTATAAAGCGATATATCAATAAGTTAGCAGATGAGTCAGAACGCCTTAATACACGCAACACCCTTCAGAAAAGAGAGTGTGATAACTTACGCTTAATTATCTAGAAGCGTAGAG